TGCATCAAATTTAATTGGTGACTTCAGTCAATCATTTATATTGCCTTTGTTATCACTTGGTCGTCATGCAGATCTCCGTAGCATATCTCCTGATACATTAGCYCRTTTATTGGAAGGCTCATTCAATGATTGTATCGACTCCTATCTTATAATAGATTGCAGGTAATTTCAATATAAATCTATTGTAAGTAAAATTATGTTTTGTATTTATTAATTTATTTCATTTGTAGATATCCATATGAGTATGAAGGTGGTCATATTAGAGGTGCAATCAATATATATACTAAAGAGCAACTATTTAAAGATTTTACTGAAAACAAGTTGGGTAAAAAATCTCAAAAAACTGATAAAGTTAATGCTAAGAGAAATGTGTTGATATTTCACTGTGAATTTTCTTCGGAAAGAGGTCCAAGTTTGTGAGTATAATTTAATGTATTTAATTTAATTTAATTTTTTTATTTGTTTTTAACTTTTACAATCCATTAATTATGATAAATTTTAAATTATTTTATATTTATACTCAGCCCGGTGAGAGGTCATAACATGTATAAGTAGTCTTTTAGATTCTAAACAAAGTGATGATCGATTGATTTTACAATGATGTGTATTTTTTTTATGTTTTTGTGTCTGTGTACAGCATAACTTGTCGAAATAATGCTTCAATTTCAAACTTTAGGGGTGGTTTCTGGTGAAAAAGTGAATATCCTTGGTGCATTATACAGGTCAAAAATAAACATTTTCCAACAGTTTTCAAAAAAATCGAGAAAAACAAAGAAAAAATGACAGAAAAACGGGAATTTTTTGTGTTTATAACTAAGGATTAAAAATACAATAATAAGTTTTTCTTCAAGTAGCTATAGAGAAAACTCTAAGCATCATTATAGGAAAAATATTAAGTGTGTTTGAATTTTAAATTTTTACAAAATAGCGTAACGATAACGAGTTATCCTCAAACGTTTTTAAATATTTGTTATTATTCAAAAAGTATAAGTCATAGATCCTTGAAAATTTTACCAGTTATTTAGATTGGTATTTTCTTTACATGATTTAATTTTCAAAATATGACTTTTTTTGAGATATTTATTGATAACTGAAATTTTTTTGAAATGTTGATAAAATTTACTTGGCTCAATCAAAATACTTGAAAATTTAATACAAAGTTTCTCAAAAGTTATTCTTATARTGATTAAAAAATTATGAGAATACATATGCAACATTTTTTTTTATAAGCGTTTGAAGTTCAAATATTGACAAAAGTTTGTCAAAACCATGAATATTTGCAAATTATTTTGTAGTTCAAAATTCATAAAATTATTTGTATTTATATCCAAGGTTAAAAAATTCAACACTAAGTTTTGCTTCAAATAAATAGCTATACAGAAAATTTGAAGCACATTATTGGAAAAATGTTTTGAGCGTTTGAGTTTTAAATTTTTATGAAATCGCGTAATGATAACGATTTATCCTCAAACCAAGTATATGTATAACTATGATAATATAGGGTATTATGAATTATGATAACTACATGCAATGTTTTTGGAAA